TAAGTCATGGGAGGGGTTAGGCGCTGCAATCCTACAGAATTCTAGTAGGAGCTGGCTTCTTTAAGCTCAGTTAAAAATTCCACCCTCAGGGTTCGGGATCCGTACATGGAAGCATTCTGCTGTGAAGACGCTGTTGGCTCTTGCTAATAGCTGAGACCAGCTCTAGCTGCTTGGGGCGTTCAGAACATGGCTACATTCTGGAAGACTCCAACTGGCCGCAGCGCTGAGGGTGACACTCACCAGGAATGGGCATAACCAATTGCGCCACCAGAATCAGCAGCAGCATGGTGGATGGAAGTCCCTGTGAGGAGCAGAGGAACAGTGCAAAGTTTGACATCCCAACGCTGGATGTGTGGGCAAAATGTTGCCTGTTTCATAGTGTTTTGTCCCTGGGGCCTACCCACTCAGGCTAGAAGAGATGGGATCTGCCATCTCCTCCCCTTTCCGTCTGCCTTAGGTTGTCTTCTCCCACGTCACCCCAGCTGGGCTTTTGTTAAAGGGTCTTTGGTTGCTGCAAAGTCCTAGGCTCCTCCCCTGTTTACAGGGGAAGGACTTTCTAACCCCACCAGTACAGAGGCCAAGGACTGAAATGCGTCCTAGAGACTGAATTCCACCCTCATCCTCCTAAGCAGAGTTAAACACGTTGTGGAGCAGTGTGTGGCGTGTTTACGTTGCTGTTGGTCGGTCTCAGAGGAGGCATCTAACGGCATCACCTTGCCCCTTCTCACAACCACCCAATTCACTTACAAACGAGAGAGAAGAGAGTGTGGCACCTGCACAACTGGGGCAGGAGAGGTGAGACCTCAGCCGCACATATTTGATAAATATTATTTAACAATATGCAGCCTGGGCACAAGCCTGGAACCCTCCTTGATTCCAGACAGCCTCCTGCCTCTTTTAGACAACCTCCCCTCCCCCTGAGCTACCCCACTGTAGCAGTGCAGTGGTGCAAAGCGGCATCAGCAAATACAGCTGGCTGGATGCTCAGCTGGTGTAAATCGGTCTGGCTCCCTTGAGCTGAATTGCACCAACCCACAGTGCCCAGTACATCCCTGCTCAGAGAACCGCCCCCAACACTTAGCAGCTGCTTGAGTGAATCTTAGTGGACCAGCCAGCGGCATGAGTTCCAGAAAAGAGCTGTCTGCTCAGCCCTCCGTGCTCCACTCGGTGAGCTGTCCGGAAGGGCGAGGAGCGTAAACCTCAAGGCCAGAGCATTGCTGAGGTGAGCAAGGCGAGGGATGCCACCTGCCTCTCCCTCACCTGCTCGTTCTGCAAGGGTAGCCACACAGACTGTAATCTGTGCCCCTGGCTAGTGCTGCCCCTCTGCGCTGAGATCCCAGGCCCACCCTCCATTGCAGACCCCAGAAAGGACGTTGGCCAAGTCTGGTTGACTTCCAGTTCAATGAAATGCCCTTGAATCCCTCAGTGAACCTGAGAACCCCCTGGGGCAGGATCCAATCTCCCAGGAGGAGGAAGCCTTGCTTTTGCATGGCCCATGGTTGTATAACTAAGTGTCATGGGAAGAAACTGAGCAAAGGGAACATTTGGGTTAAATGTCAGGGACCTAGAAGTGAGATTTTTCCAGTCTGGGGCTGGATTCAGAGTCCGACCGCATACCCAGCTGACTCCTAATATCTTGGTGAGGTGAGGTGGGTAAGGATTGAGCTGCCTTCTGCATTCTCTAGCATGGGGGTCTGTTAAACGGTTGCAGTCTACCATGGGAAGCCCTCGAGATCTCGTGGTGTGAGTCCTTTAACTAGTCTTGGCCAGCAAATGTCCGTTCAGCATCCTGGCGTCTGTATCCCCAGAGCTGGTTGCATTATGTGGCGTGAATGGTTTGGCTCTTTGAATCCATCTTGGAAGTAGCCACAAACCACTCAAGGAGTCTCCAGGAGTTTTTGCCTTTCTCCCGTTTGGCTCACAACTCCCTGACACCCATGTAGGACCCCTTCCCTCAGGGGATGGAGAATCTCTTTTCTAAAAGAAGGATCTGACCTGGTTTGTGATGCTTCTGTGACTTGCTTGGGAGCCCCGTGAGAGACCATACCCTGTTCTCCCACCCTCCCCTCTCTGAGCTGAATGTCAGCCCAGCCCAGCGTCTGCTGCTGCTTCCCTCGCTGATGATGTGTCCCTGTGACCTCAGAATCAACTGCCATCCCCATGGTAACTGGTGAAATCAAAAGGCAGCATCCTTTGCCTGGGGGAAGCAAGTTTCTCCTCTTGAGGAGCTGAGGTCATGAGGTCTACAGAGAACCAAGGATCTATTCCACTGGGTTGGGTCAGAGGATACAGGAGAGTAATGGATGGGAAGTATATTAGCCTCAGAGTAAGATCATCTCTGTTCCCCGAGTAACTGGGAGGGGGGGGGGGGGTGGGGGGCAGTTGAGCACCTGGGGCTGACTGAGTGGGCTTGTGGAGGCAGGTGAGCCTTGGCTAATTAGAACACCTGGAGTCAATTAAAGAAACCCGTTGAGATTGGCTAGAAAAGGCGCTGCCCTGCAGTTGGTGGGGTGCAGGAATAGCTGAGAGGACAGAGGAATATGCTGGTGGGAGTAGGAGAAAACGAGCACCATGTGGACACGAGGAGGATGAGCTGGCGAGAAGGAGGGTGCTGGGGAAGTAGCCATGGGGTCGTGGAGCTGTCTCTTGTAGCAGGTGTTGGAGACTCTCAGAGGCAGCTGCTATCACAGGGCCCTGGGAGGGAACCCGCAGTAGAGGGTGGTCCTGTGTTCCCCCCCAACACCCATTCCCACTAAGGGAGACTTCGGAGTCTATTCTCCCTTTATATCTGACACTGGCCAATGACGAGAGGAGCTCAACAAGCAGCAAGCTAATGCCCTAGGTGTGGTGCTTAAAACTGAGGGCTGCTGTGAGCCTCTGAGACGAGCAAACCCGCCAGAAAGCACAGGACCTGCCACGTGCAAGCAGGAGCTTTATGTCCATATAGACACTGTCACAGACTGTGGGTGGGAAGGGGGAACAGCAAGCTCTCTTCTTGATTTACTGTGCCGTGTGGCCAGGACTCTCAGTGCGCATGGAAACATTCTTTGCTGACTTGGGGCCCCACCAAGATGCAGTGGGGGCCTTGAATAATGGCAGCCAGTTTGCGGCCCTGCGGCTTTCCAGGGGAAACGTCTTTGTAATGCAAATAGGGGATGGGATGGGGAAGAAAATAGGGGATGGGAAATAGGGGATGGGATGGGGAAGGAAGACGCTCTAGACTAGAGTTCTGTGGGGGTGTGTGTGTAACGAGCTTCAGAACAAAACGTAAAACGTTCTCCTTTGGTTCATGTCTGACTGGCAGTTTTTGCTGCTTTTGTTACCGCTTGTGAAAGAACAGGGACTTAGCGCCTTCTCCCGTGGGTGGCCTTGTGTAACTGATCTTTAGCGTTGGTCAAATTTTGCCTCACTGCTGCGATGATACCTGCTTTACCTATAAATAACGAATATAGTGATGGATCTAATACAGGGGCAGGGAGCCACAGGCCTGGGGGCTGCATGTGCCCCCCCCCCAGCTTACCTGGATCCAGCCCCCAAGGCTCAGGGATCCCCCTTCACTGGGGAGCCCATGCTGACACTCCAACCCCCCCGCCACCCACCAACAGGGCTGGAGCACACAAAATCTACTAGCCTGGGCCCCCCTCAGCTCTGGTGCGCAAGGGGAATTGGGGGGGGGGGAAGTGTCTTTTTCTTCCTCAGTCAGGGTCTTCTTGCTTTGCTTCTCACTTCTGTGCAGCCCCCAACTGATTTTTCAGTGGGTCAGCGGCCCCCAACCCCCCAAAAGTTCCCCACCCCTGATTTAATACCTCAATAAAGGCTGGTTACATAGTTCCAGGTCTGATTGCTCTATTGTAGCTCTCAAATCTTTTCTTTCGTGTGTGTGTGTGTGTGTGTGTGTGTGTGTGAGAGTGAAGGTCATCACACCGACTGAAGTCTCCTCTCTTTAGATCAGGTAAGACACAGACTCCAGGTGTCCATTCTTCTCCCATCCTGCTCTGCAAGTATTCCTCAGCCCTGTTCTGGAGATTGCATTCCTAGTGTGACATGCTCTCGCGTCCACCCTGTGCTTGGCTTCTCCGCAGAGAAAAGAACTGCACGGAGATGAAAAATTCACTTCATGCAGGCTACCAGCAAAAGATAACAAGCGCCAATCCCTGCTCATCGGAGGTGGTTGTGAACCGACAATTGGCTGTAGCTTCCCTGGAAACTCAGAGGCTGTGTCTAGACTGGCCAGTTTTTCCGGAAAATCAGCCGCTTTTCCGGAAAAACTTGCCAGCTGTCTACACTGGCCGCTTGAATTTCCGCAAAAGCACTGACTTCCTACTGTAAGAAATCAGTGCTTCTTGCGGAAATACTATGCTGCTCCCCTTCAGGCAAAAGTCCCTTTTGCGCAAAAGGGCCATTGTAGAAAGCTCAGATTTGTTTTCTGCAAAAAAGCCCCGATTGCGAAAATGGCGATTGGGGCTTTTTTGCGGAAAAGCGCGTCTAGATTGGCATGGACTCTTTTTCTGTCTTTGCGGAAAAGCGTCTGTGCCAATCTAGACGCTCTGTTCTGCAAATGCTTTTAACGGAAAACTTTTCTTTTAAAAGCATTCATGCCAGTGTAGAAGCACAAAGGATAGTTACAGCTCAATGGCGGCTGAACATCTAACTGCCACCTGTGCTTTTGAATATTTCCTTCTATGGCCCTTCATGGCTTGGGTTACAGCTCCCTCCAGCCTCCTTCACATGAACAGTCACTTTAAATACCATTGGGCTTGCCAGTGTCCCCTGTGCCCCTCTGTCTCTCAGGAGCTGGCTGGCTGCTCTCCTCACCTCAGCTGTCTTATTGACTCTCCATGCTGGGCCCTCCCCAGCTCACTTCTGCCCACCCGTTATCACTTCGTCTCCGCCCCCCCCCGTGCACTCGGGTCGCTCTCTCCTGCCCCTCCCCGTGGAGACAAGGAAGCGCAAAGCACGGCACATGGACGCTGCAATGGGAGGGGCCTGGCACCGCTGCTCCTCTTCAGGGCCGGCGAGGGCACCCAGTAATGGGAGCCAGTGCAGAAGTCAAAATGTTTTATATTTTCCAAGAGGCCGTCGCATGGGTGGTGGGTGGAGCTTCCCCTTGGGGAGGCCAGCCCTCTGGCCCATGTCTCCCGTGTGAGGCCTGCCCCCATTCACAACCTCCTCTGGCGCTGGGGGAGGACAGAGTTCATTTGGGGCCATGGGGAAGGAGCAGGGACTGAGAGCTCAGCCCAGGCCAGCCTTGAGCTCTCACCCTTGGACACGAGTGTGGTGGAGCTCTCGGGCCTGGCTGGAGTTCTGAGCCCAGAGCCCCTCCCCAGTTCCATTGGTGGCTCCGCCCACAGCCCCACCCCATTCCACCCTTTTCCCCTTGAGTTCCCACCCCCTGCCTGCTCCTTCCTCTCCCCCCCACTGCATCCCTGAGGTGGGAAAAGCTCTGTGCCCCCAGAGCTCCCCAACCATACCGGGGGGGGGGCTTTTCTGGGGACCCCAAATCCTCTGCTGACCCCCCAGTGACTCATGGTTTGGGGAAGATTAACCCTTTCCCGCCTTTATTACATGCCACCCATGAAATGTGCCATGTGAGGGTGCAGAGACCGGTTGTTACTTTCCTGCAGGAAGGTGGTAAAAGCAGCAGAAATGTTGTAGCCTACATCCCATGAGTGTTCCTAGACAGCATGACCCCTCTCGTGCTGTAGCTCTGGGGACATGGGACAGCAGTGTCCTATCATCACCAGTGCCGTCTCGGTGGGGAACCGAGCCCTGCTCCAGAACAAACGACGAAGGGGGGAAAATCCAGTGGCTGGTTTTGCTAATGATGTGGCTGGCACTAAGGGCGTGTCCTGTAATTGGTTGTGTAGCATGGACTCTCTGGGGATGCGATCCGCACTGTGAATGCGAAACTGGACGTTAGGTTTGCCTATGTGGCTGATACTTCGGAGCAGCGAACAGACAAGGGTAAGACAGCGCACGATTAACCAGGCACTATGGTGTGTGGAGAGCAGCGTTGGAGGGGCTGCTTTATAACTCGCTCCTAGACACGTCTAGCCCTCCAAGTCAGCTCTGTATAAGCAGGCCAAGTGGTTGTTCCATGATTGCTCTGGGCAGCCTATGTCCCTGGGCCTGGAATTGATTTCAGCCGGACTGGCAGGATGAGGCAAACGTGTTATTATCCACTTAAAAGCTTTGTGAGGGAAAGCAAGCAGGGGCGGGGGAGACGCTGAACTGACATTTGGAAAAACGTCTAAAATAGTTCTGAAAAGAAAAAAACCCACCCCTCTCGGCAAACAGTCCTTCCCCTCTGCTCGTGGCCAGTCTGAGATGTCTCTTCCAGAACGTCTGCGTGTGAATGAATCGTGACATGACCCTGAGAACTTGGCAGCCACATCAGTTACTCGCCCCACGGCATCACGCGCCACCTGCAGCTCACCTCATTAGTACCACGGAGTGCAATTAGCTGCGCGCATGCATTTAATAGCTCTCCCGGGAGAGAGAGAAAGGGGGGAAGCTCAGCAACATCGTTGAATTGACAGCATTGGTCACGGTGGGTAGCAAGGCTGCCTTGCAAAGCAAATCTGCTCACTAGCTTTTCGAAGAAGTCGTGGCCAGAAAAAATGATTTATAGGCGGAAAGTGGTGAAAGCGAGTGGATTCTGGTCTCTAAAACGACTGAGGCACAAAAGGGCAAACTGAGGCTGGAGTCGGTTTTGTTCTTTCAGACGCAGCTCTGTCTTTCTGTAGACAAAACATCAGAATCGCCTGAAGACATTTCTCTCCCTAGCACTAAACTCTGGGTCCTCGGGGGAAAGCTGTGAGCTATAGCAGACAAGTCAAAATCTGGTCTCCGTTAAGCCTATGTAAACCCAGGGCAAGCAGAATTCGGTTCTAGGCAGGGAGAGTGTGGGCTATTGGTTAGAGGCAGGGATTGGCGGTCAGAGTTCGGTCCCTGGCTCTCCTGATTTCATCTACTTTTTCTAAGCATACAGGACTCAGGTTCATACGTTAGCCACACTGGTTTAGTCCTGCTGGTGTAAATGGAAGCAGGGACTGTCCCAGGTTTTGCTTATATGTGACTGTCACAGGGCAGCATCCACCCTTTTAAGGAGGAGGACACCAGTGCACCTGTGACTTGTCTGCTGCCTCCCGATTAGGCCTAGAAGAGGGCATGAGGGCGGCAGGCGGGGGGAAGGGAGAGCCAGTCAGTCCGCGCTACCTGTGAGGAGGAGTGTGGCCAATGAGAGCGGCCAGATCCAGACGGTGTTTCCTGAGGGAAGCCTGAAGGCAATGGGACCAGCAAGAGGGCTGGAGAGGGCAGACGACCAGAGGGAGGTGGTTGCTTGCTCTAAGACAGTGAGACGAAGCCAAGGGGGAGACGCAGGAAGCCAGGCAGGGAAGCTTCAGAAAAGTTAACTCGCTGACACCTTCATACTGGAGAACTGGACCCTGGGGAACAGCGAGGGGGCCGGGGAGGGAAGGGTGCTCTCCTGGTGAAGCTGATCTCCGACAGGGAGGCTGTGGGGGTTCTTGTTGGGACGGGGGAGTAGCACCCCGCTGGACTGGCTAGGGCTGCTGTCCTGGCAGGGCAGTCAAGGCTGAGCAAGGATCTAGGCATAGCAGAAGACACCAGGGTTTTGTAAAGACAGCCTCCCTCCTGGTAGCGCACAGGGGAGTTGTTCCCCACTGGGAAGAGCAGGGGTTTAAGGACTTCTTCAAGAACACTGGGGGTATGTCTAGACTTAAATATCCCATGCCTCATTTGCATAAAAATGGCCACCGTGTTTTGCCGACTCAGCACTTTGTCGGCAAAAAGCGGCAGTCGAGAGGGGGATCTGTGGAGAAAGAAAGCCTTTTTCGACAGATCTCTTATGCCTCCTGCTAGGAGCTTTACAGGATCTTGGGTTACCTGAGAGGGGGAACCGTAAAGCATGTTTCACTACGGTCAGCGTGGGAACGTGACTGATAACAGACCTCATCCTTAGTCACTCCATTTGAAGACCTAGCACTGTTGTCCTTTTTATCACTGCCACTGGATGAAAGACTTTCCGTAAGATTTCTGCTTTACCCCAGCATGTTGTATCAGAGAATGTAGCTTGCTGATTTCTCTGTAGTCCTCACTCTACCGATCATCTCTCAGACATTATTGAGATGTTGACACCAGCCCTTGACTGGCGCAAGATGCCAGTCGCTGTTGCTCACCTGTTGCATTTCCAAACAAATACCTTTGAGCTTTCTCCCATCGGAGTTTTCTCTCCCCTGGGAGGTGGTGCCTATGACCACCCACAGAACTAATGCATTGTCCTTCAAATGCCACCTGAAAACTCACATTTTCTGTGAGGCCTAACACAACCTTGATACTATTTAGCCGAGCGGTATAATTATTATTCCATTAGGGGTCTCCATCCAAGAGTCCAAAAAAGGTGAGAGTTGAGTTCTGCTGTAAAACTGGTCAAAGGCCCCAAAAGGTTCATATTTCATGTGAACTGATTCACCTATCTTTAGTGTCTGCCTCCATAAATCTCTGGAAAGTACATTAGGATTGATCAAACTACCGAGTTGTCTTTCTGCTGTGAACATGCATGTGTAGCAGATATTGCTTTCATGGGGATTAGACTCCCTAAAATAGAGGGACAAATCACTTCTTAGATTAATTCTATGGACATCCCTAGAGATGAACACCAAAGATGAACTTAGCCCATGCATCTCGGAATGAAAAAGATACCAGTGATGTAACAGGTCATGAGTGACATGTTTGGAGTCCGTTCTGAGGTGTCTTTTGACATTGTGTGTGCTTATCTTTCTTTGATCTTCCTTCCTAGTTGATCTCCAGTGTGCATATTTCAGAAGCTAAATGTGGACTTGACTGAGGACATGGATAGATCTAGCATATCATTAACTGTTCTTCACTTCTCTATCTAGACATCCTCCAAATCCACCAATTCCAGTCATTCCTCGTATGTATTGACCTGATCGCTTTCGTGTCTCTTTTTACATTCGGGATGTGCAAATGTGGACTGGATAGTATCTACTTGCATATTTGCCTAAGTATCAAATCCAAACACAAGCCGAAGACACATCAAACTTTTTCTGGAAGTACAAAGTGTGAATTAATTTTTCAGAAACTATAAACATTTCTTGTATGCAAGGCTGGAAAGAAAGAGCTGGAAAATGGAGAGACTGGTTGATCTGATAGTATTTCTGATTGAATTGGAAAATACACTAGGAACCACCAGAAACCATCCAAAGAAACCAGCTTTTATGATTTCAGCATGAACCTGTTTTCAGGACAAGTCTATAAAGGCTCCGCTGAGAGGGTGGCTAACATGTCATCGTACAAAAGTCCAGCCAGAACTTGGGGTCTTATCCTAACAAGCATCGGGTGCCCTCAGTTCCAACTGACCATGAACCTTGTAGGCTGAGACCCTTATGAAGTAATCAGGGACAAATTGTCAGCCAGTATCTGCTCGGTTTGTGTGTGGGATAGAAGCGTACAACCTCAGTTACCAACTGGGCATGTGCATGCACAAATGTGTCTAGGCAGTAATAACTGGTTCTAAAGCCCAGTGAAAGCTACGGCAGTCTTTCAGGACCCAAGACTACTTCAGCAAACCATTTGAACATGTGCTTCGGGCTCATTGATGGTAATAGGATTCAAGCATGTGTTTAAATGCTTCGCTGAGTCAGACTGAAATCCTTTATTTTTGTCCACACAAAGGGACGTGCCTGCAAATTTTTCAACAAAGACCTATTCAATATCGGGGACTGGAAGTGTAGTAAGGAATCAATAGTATGAGAAGTAGGCTCACACAGGAGAATGACAGACCTTCTGAGCCAATAGGTTCTTCTGTCCATGTCTAGACCAGATATTTTCAAATTAGCTTTGGATAAGCTTCTGTATTTTTGGATGTGTCTCCTAACCTTGACAGAGCTTGAGGTTCATCCATCACTAATTTTCATATGAATTACATTAAAACCCCTTCAGCTGAAATATATCTTCTTTTAAAAATAGGCGAATAAAACAATAAATCAGTAGGAAAAGCAAGCAGAAAAAATGTAGAAAACAGATGAAAAGCAATGGGGAAGAATGAATGCCATAAAAATACCATACATGCCAAGCCCTTCAAATGTGATTTCCTGCATAAAGCATGATCTTAGAACATGCTCTGACACACAAAGGCCAAAAATGTGAAAGAAAAAAGCCTTGTTTGAACTTGGGAGTTGAGTAGGTTTCATCCGACCCATCTGTGATCGGAGCCTAAACCTAGGACATGTCAGATGATTTTCCACTCAATGAGCGTCTGTACCGTTCCCCACCCTCTTGGTGAATAGATAGTGCTGACACACTTCCTGTTATGGACTGCTGGGTACAGCTCCCAAGCAGCCTGGCACTGAAATGCATGTGGGTTGGGCAGGGGACTTCAAAAGCAACTTCTGGCACATGGAAAAATATTTCGAAGTGAGCTTGGGTAGTTTCCAAAATGACCTGCTCCAAGCAAGTAGAAAGAGAGCTTATATTCTCTTGAGTAAAAAGACCCAGCTCCTTTAAAGAGCCTGCCAGAGATGTATGAATTACTATGTTATTACTGAGAGAGACTGACAGTCAAAATAACCACTGGCAAAAATAAAAGGGCATGATGCAAAGATACCAGTTCCGAAATAGCTGGAGGCTGCATGGTTTTAATTGCCCCGAATCTAGAATATCTATGTGGAAGTAGTGAATATTCTGTGAGTTACAAACACACTTGTTCCACATTAGATTAATCAAAGTCAGAATGAATATTTGGTGAAAGCGACAGAGGGCAAGAATGTGGCTAGCTGTCACTAATGTGAATAAATTAGCCGGCTTAGCCCTCGTTAATACATAAGCTTTTGAAGTCATCCAGTTCACGTTATTTTTCTCTGCACTGAGGAAGTTCGCTGCATAAAAAGGGAAAGGAAGGAAAACACGGGGTGAGAAAAATG